GGAGTAGGAGTAGGAGTAGGAGTAGGAGTAGGAGTAGGAGTAGGAGTAGGAGTAGGAGTAGTAGTAGTTTTAGTAGTAGTAGTAGTAGTAGTAGTAGTAGTAGTAGTAGTAGTAGCGGTAGTAGCAGCAGTAGCAGAGCAGCAACAGCAGCAGCAGCAGTAGTAGTAGCAGCAGCAGTACTAGTCGTAGCGGTAGTAGCAGTAACAGTAGCATTGGTAGTAGTACGGTAGTGGTAGTAAGTAGTAGTAGTAGTAGTAGTAGTAGTAGTAGTAGTAGTAGTAGTAGTAGTGGTAGTGGTAGCAGTAGTAGTAGTAGTAGTAGTAGTAGCAGCAGCATCAGTAGTCGTAGTAGCAGCAGCTACGGCGACTACTACAATACTGCCACTACTGCTGCCGCTGCTACTACTACTACTACTACTACTACTACTACTCATACTACTACTCATACTACTACTACTACTACTACTACTACTCCTCCTCCTACTACTACTACTACTACTACTACTACTACTACTACTACTACTATATTACTAGCGCGACGACTACTAGACACTAGAGCAATACTACGAATCCTGGCCCCCAAGGACCACAGAGCTCTTGCTTCTCATGTTTCTGGCTTCGAGCCCTGCCGGCTGCCTGGTCCTTTCGCTGATTCGGGGTCTTCGAAGAGTCCATGTAGAACCTGGACACGGTTCGGTTTCAGGGCGCAGGGCATAGCAGGAAGAATAACCTTGTCCAAGGTCATCATGACGTAGTGACAGTAAACGCACAGTACGGACCAACAACACAACACAAAAACAGCGACAGCGGCTTCAACCCCAAAGCCCCACAGTCACAAACAGAAGGATTGCCGGGCGCACTGGGAGTTGATGACCATAAAATAGACTCCGCCGACCTCTCGTGACGGACACGTTCCAGCAGCACAGGTCAGGGCCACGGAAGTTGAGATTCTCTTCATCTCGGGCCCTGAACCTTTTCCAATGACTTTCGGGTTGCGGGGCTTGGGCTGTCGCATCTAGACTTAGCTGAGCTCGATGTTTGAGACATGCCTGCACTGCTCTTACTTGGCATCTTCGGAATGCAGACCTGGGCAGTCAAAGAACTTCACGCTGACGGTGATGTTGGCGGGTTGTGTGCTCGTGGAGTTTGGCGCTTAGGTGCCTAGCGTCGATGTCTTCCGAATCCAGGGATTAGAAGTTCAACAGAGGTGCCGAAGTTGGGTACAGTTGCAGCCCGAATGTCGAGATTCACCACCCCGGACCCTGCACGTGCTGCCAGCACAGCCCAGGTGGCGTGCCCAGAAGGAGAAGTAGTCATCACCTGGCCAGGAGGAAAATAAAAGTGATGCTACACTGACCCTTCCGAAATTAAAGATAGGGGTGGAGCTGGGAGTGGCAAGGTCGTCGTGGTCGTCAGCCGGGTAGTATGCCCGAGCGAAACACAGTAGCAACAGGAAGGCATAGCAATCCTTTCCGAGAAATGAGAAAGTGGCCGTGAGCATTCTTCTCGTCTCCCTTAGTGATCTTAGTGTTGTCGGATCTCTTTTGACAGATTTGGCCTATATCGAGCAAAACAAAACCTCGCTAACATTTGGACGCCAGGTCTCGCGGCGCGCACACAATCGGAATCAATCGGACGTAAATTTCACATTCCGGACGGTAGATGTTCGAAGGCCCTTGAGGCACTGAAGACAGTTCCTGGCTAGCCCTGAAACCAAGCCGCAAGCCGTCGTAACCGAATCAGCAAGACCTCCAGTGCCCTGCATCCGGCCTCCGTGCTGACTCGGCAGTACGGCCCCTTTCCTCCCGTTACTGCCATGTTGAAATTCTGGCCGGAACACCCCATCTGGAAGAGTAGAGGTCCAGCTCGTTGGGGGAAGGGACCTTCGCGAACGGAGCCACGGGACTTTTGAGACTGTTTGAGGGAGCTCCTGCTGGCATCCTCATTCCTTTCATGACAACCTACAGTGAGGATGACACTGATGCTGATGCTGACGCTGGCGATGACGATGGCGGCGACGATGACGATGACGATGACGATGACGATGACGATGACGATGACGATGACGATGACGATGACGATGACGATGACGATGACGAGGACGAGGACGAGGACGAGGAGGAGGAGGAGGAGGAGCAGGCGGAGGAGGCTGATGAGGAGGATGAGGATGAGGATGAGGATGAGGATGAGGATGAGGATGAGGATGAGGATGAGGATGAGGATGAGGATGAGGATGACGACGACGACGACGACGACCACGACGACGATGATGATGATGATGATGATCGTGATGATGGTGCTGGCGATGATGAGGTTGCTGTTGACATTGGTGCCGTTTGCAGCTGCTCTCACTATTGTGGCTAATCTTTCTGTGGCTGTGGCTGTTGCTGTTGCGGTTGCTGCCTGTGTTGCTATTGTTGTTGCTACTGTTGTTGCTATTGCTGTTGCTACTGTTGTTGCTGTTGGTGTTGGGGTTGTTGGCGTTGGCACTGGTGTCGGTGCTGGTGCTGGTGCTTGTGCTGGCG